TCTTTAAAACTTTTAACATTATTCATTACCCATGACATTAAATTCTACATATGGTTAAAAACAAATGATAATGCTTATCAGATAATAAATTAAATTTCCAACTTTAGTATGTAAATTGATTAATCAACATTCAAACACCATTCAACAGTCACAATCTTGCAATTTCTTTCATAGCCCAGTTACGCCAGTAACAAGAGCACCTCTTTCTAAAGCAGGGATTCTCAATCTTTCAAGACCTGAAGACACATGCACCCTTTTCCATCGACTCACAGCTGACCAGGTTATACTTCATGATAATTTAACAAAATTTCACCGCAAGTTACTAACACATGTTCCAAACTTACTACAGCAAACAGATTCAGGTGTTTCTCAATATTTTTCTAGCAAACGAGTTCACAATTTTCTCCATATTTTTCTTTAATAAACTTTGTTGATTATTTTTCTTAATTATGCTCTTAAAACAAACAGTTCAAACTACTTTAATCATTATATACAGTGGGGCAGACAGCCATGGCATGTACAGCCCATGGACTGAAAACCCTTGTTTTAAAGTTCCAGTGCTCCAATCACATTGCCACCCACAAAATAATTAAATTGATAATTATGAATAGCCCTAAGGATGAGGGGAGAGATGGTCGTCAAAATGTCAGCAAAATTTAACCATCTGACATGACTGATAGTCCGAGAAGATTTTATTAATTACAATGAGGTATATTATTTATGTGCAACATGTCACGATCACATATAGGTTGCATCTGTAACAGTGTTTCTACAAAAACTGGATTCAATTGAGATTTTATTCAGATAACATTATTTCATATGTTAGGTTTCCTAGTTACAGTAAAAATCCTATCATATCACCATTAAAAATATGGAAAGAATTGTCTGAGCTCTTAATGCTGATACATGACCAAACTAATCCTTTTCATGAGAAAGACTGTATATGTTTCTTTACCAGCAAGTGTTAATTTTGACTTAGGTAAACTTGACTAACTAGGTGGCTTACGAAACCCAAAGGTTCATCACCAAATTTACCAAAGCCCACCACCGGTTCATGTCCTGGGCCAGCAAAATCCAGTCTCCTTCAACTCCTATCTCCCACAGATCCCGCCTGACATTATCCCCCCCATCTACGTCTAGGTCTCCCCAGCGGTCTACTCCATTCAAACTTCCCGACCAATACCCAGTGCACGCCTCTTGTCCCATCCATTTGCGCTACATGTCCACCAATCTCATTCTTCTTGACTTAATCACCCTGACAATATTGGCATAGGAGTACAAAATTTAAGCTGATCATTATGCAATTTTCTCCATACCCCATAATCTTCTCTCCTAGACCCAAATATCTTCCTCGTCCATACTTCCTTAATTTTGTGAAGACAAATATGTTAATTTCTTGATTTCTTAAGGAAATACTAGGATAAATAGCATCTAGATCATTGTCTTCTGGGTTGTAATACTGTACAGTCTTGTATGTGCTTACCAACATTTATGAGGAATGCATCACTTCTATCTGCAGGATAAGTAATGAAGGCAATATACAGCTACAAGAATGTACAGCATAGCAGCCCAGAAGACCAATGACCCACATTTTCAGCACCATGAAAATCTCAAATTTCAGTGGGGTAGCAGTTTCCGTTAGAACTGTTCCTTCAGACTACACCCATTATTGTAAAGAAGTGCTGAAAAAACATTACTTAAAGCACCAGACTTTTTTGAGTACATACTTTTTGCACAGCTTATTTTTCCTCCCGTTTGTTTAATCTTATTATTACAATCTTCCTTTTATAGTATGTTATACAGTAAAACCCCTCAAACTGGACACCCCTTTATATTGGACACTTTTAATTGGAACTTAACTCCGTCAGTACTGTGCTTGCATTTGAGTTCAGACTGTGTTAACAGAAATGGAATTTTTCTTTTTGCGATGGGGAAGCGAAAATTGGTGGGATTAACTTTAAAAAATGTTATTGAGGCTGGGATGTAATGTGCAATGCATGGGAGTGGGCTTCAAAAGATTATTATCAATACTATTGTCATTAATTATTAATTCGAGTAAGCCTACAGTAGTTAGTGTATGTAAGTAAATAGATTATATTGTCATTAGACCACAATCTGATTTTTCTCTTTTCCTCTATCTTGGACACATTTTCGTGGAACCCCAAGTGTCCAACTTAGAGAGGTTTTACTATATTTTTATACAAGAAAGTCTGGGGGGGACTAAAGTATCCACAACTACCTGATCCTCCGCTCCTTTCATTCATGTGTTTTTCTTTTTCTATAAATTTGTGTCTATTATAATCATGGGTCCAGATGAAATGATACTAACACCTCAGTTTAACTTATTGTGTAATGAACATTAAACTGTCAGTTTTCTCATTACAAGCAACATGTGCCACGTATTGTTCAAATTCTTTTAAATGAAAGTGTTCAGTTTTAATCACTTTTATTTGTTGCGTTTAAAATGGTAACAATCGTAGTAAATGAATGTCAGAAGATACATAATTAGGCAAATGTTCTGTCAAGCCAGTGTTTAGATTCTAAGTGATTAAGAACAAGATTAGGTCAAATTTACTTCATGGAAATGTGTAACTTCTGTGCATCATTCATTAGTTACTCATTACACACTGTTACGACCGTTAACCAAGTGATTTATACTCAATTTCCTCCACATTTGGCCTTCACTAACATCCTACCAACGTTTCCACCACCCAAAAATCAAACCTGTGTGATAAAGATCCCCCAGGTTGGGAACAGTGTGTATGGGGCATGACAGTTCCTACTAGGCAGAACAATTTTTGTCATTCATTTCTACATTGTATTTCCTAAGATTTTACTTGAAAACGTTTTAGTACTTTTTGTGCTATACCATCATTATCCGATGCAAAACCACCTCAGTCTAGATTACCATTTTGTAAAACAGAAAGAATATAAACTAATGAGGAATCTTTCACAGACAACAAAAACTGTTAACAAGACTGCAATGGGTAACAATTAATAGCATCAATAAAAAAATGTTCATTAGATACATGGTATCATGGAGAGAAAAAGGACATACGTCTTGTAGTTACTGAAATACCACACACCCTTCAATAAAATGTGTACACATATTTTTGGTTTAAGATAAAAACTAATAATAAATTACATTAATGTGGCTAGTCCCAGTCTACAAATCCAAGCATGTATGTGTGGCGGCTAATAAAACTGCAATAACATGAAAAATTAATAAAATATATATCACTCCTACAATTATGTTTCATTGCTGCTGGCACTGCCATCTAAATTCTCTTACCATCATCAATGTAATGACAGATTATTTCTGCAAGAGAATTAAACTGTTCAAAATTCTACTTTCTAGAAAAAGACTTTTCTTTCTTCTCCAATCTCTGATTCAACTTTCATGAACACCTAATTTTCCAACTGCGGTATCATTCCATGTTGTCTCCTACAGTACACGACTTTGTTTCATTCACTTCCAACTACTTTAATTGCTAACAGAACTGAAAACCTGTTTCAAATAAAGGATTAGCGCGGCTGATAACTGAATCACAAACAATGCAACAGGAGAATTATTTCTAGGCCTCTGGTACTGTCTACAGAACACATGACAGTGAACATTGGAGATAGTTAATAATTATGATGTTGACACATCATAGCATAAAACATCACTCTCTTCCAATAATGCAATGACTGAACCTGAAATGATCGTCACAACAGAGTAGGTACTGGAATATGTATAATGTGAAGCTTTGACAGTGGCTGTCATTAATAAAATCTTCTTGGGCCTTCAGCCATGTCAGATGATCAAAACTTGCCAACATTTTGAGGATCTTCTCAGTCCTCATCCCCGGGCTGCTCACACGGTGTGTTCTAAGAGACTTACATATGAAGGCTACAGGATATATGGACTGCGAGATAAAAGAGGCTACTGAGATCAAGCTTCATCCCAGGAACTTTAACAGGGAAGGAGGCTTCATGGTAGCTCGTTCCTGGGATCCAGTGATCAACATAAACATTTCTGAGATCCACCAATTGAAAGACAGGCCCACCCCCCCCACCCCATTGGCTCACGCTCAGATCCCTGCATGAGCGAAGGGTAGGTATATATGTGGACCACTTACAGCACACAGTTTGAGTAGCCCTGAAGATGAGGACAGAGATGGTCCTAGAAATGTCAGCAAGTTTTAATCATCTGACATGGTTGATGGCCCAAAAAGATTTTACTACATACTGAAGTATAGTTCCAGCTCAAATGTTCCTTTCTTTAGTTACATGTGGTGAACACAGCCTGCTTGCCCACTTCATTTCCAGATAATGCTCTGACTTTTATCGTAGCAAAAAGACATTTTGAAACAGTTTCCACAGCACATGCCATTGATGCTGCCAAGTCAAGTGTTGTGTCCCCTATGTTCACAAGCTACCAAAATCAAAGTCTCCAGTAAGAGACACACCCAGTTTCTCATGCAGAAATTTTAGAAAGAAAGTGCACGTGGTATTCATGGCATTCAGACAAAAGTAGACGAAGTCCTCACATAGGTTACATGTCGATTTTAGTCTGAATGTTTACTATAAAAATGACCTACATGACTAAATATGGTAGCGTGTAGAATATGTGGGTTTCTTTCCTGACAGTATAGTAGTTGTATTAATTAAAATTTGTCATGTTATCAATTAGACTACTTTGGCAAAATAGAATTTGATAAGGATAAGTTTAGTCAAGTTTTAAGATTTCTAAGAGTCTGTAAAATGAATGCATGGATGCTCATCATTATGTAGTTTCCTATATTCTCCTGTTATTTCATACCTGCTTGATTAACTGAACACTGAAAAGCCTGATGGTCTCCACAATGCATTGTGGAAGGGAAAATCACAGCCAGGCTGCAATAAGTCACACAAAGGGAAAATAGAGGCAAAAGAAAATATTCTAGTTCTGAACAGGGACCCCTTAGTTAACTGAGAGTTTATAACACTGATTTTAGGATAACTGCAAAACAGTGATATTCACCAATATTTTAAATGTATTTTATAGTAACATAACAAACCACAAAATTCAATTTAGATAATCCATCATTTTCAAAGCCATAGCCCAGATTTCATTTTTATGATGCCTTGTAAGTAAATGGCTAATCTGCATTATTTTTTGGTTATAAGTTTCCTCACATTGGTAAATATAGCTTAAACACATTCATATCTCGGTACGACGACAGCTATAGATTCTACATGGAACTTCAAGTAACATGCATTATTGTTTTTGTCTATTTAACACATTTAACTTGCACACTTCAATAAGCATTACAGATTTATGCAGCGAAAGAAAGTTTCTAAACGCTAGAATACACCATCTTCAAAAGCATAGTGATTTTATTAACACAGTGTTTCAATTATGAACAATTTCTCACTTGTACTTTGCCTACTGTGTTTTTCTCTTCATGTGATTGCCTGAGCTGTTACTTCTCTTCCTGTGAAGCCAATACTGATGGTATATAATTTGCACTGGTACAGCCTACATAAAATGTTATTAAATAGAGACTATTTATTTTAAACACAAGCACTTCTACGGATATCTTGCACAATATATCACACTTGTGCAATCTGCAAGCACCTCTGAAATAATGACAACCATATGAACCATTTTTGGCACATTCAAGGTTGGTAATAAATACCAATTTTTCAGTTGTACCAAATGTTATACTGCGAGCTAAAAGACATAGAATCCCTCTTCAAATTTTTTTATAACAATATAAAATATATAATTTATCTCTATGCTGGGAAATACTATCTACAATCTTGTGAATGTTTACACCTTGGCCGAGACTTGCAGGTGGACGGACGCCAAAGATCAACTTAATTTACTGACTATTTGGAGAAGTCACTGCTACGCTGAGCTCAGTAATTCGCTGAAAAGAAAGCAAACATGTAACTGCAAGAAGTGCCAGCATTTGTTAGTAATGACAAGATCGCTAAAGAAACTGGTCAAGATAAAATAAGCACACAGTCCGAGATCTGGCGGGATGCCAGTTAAACCACATGCAGTATTCAAACTAATCATAAATTGTTTATAATTACTAGAAATTATCTATCCTCTAAGTGTTTTATGAATCAAAAACACCATGCTTTGAAAGTTGTTCCAAGGTAGTTACTAGCCTCTATGGTGTAGAGTTCTGTCCTCCACCTGTCACCTGAAGATGGAACCAAAGTTCCAAAACATCACAGTTTTAATTAAAAAAAACACGTAGACATGGGATAAAGTCCAAAATAACAATAATAATAACATACTTTGTGTTATATGATCGTCAAAAACCTTTAAACTTCATTAATCCCAGATTGTATTCATAATTATTTGTCTCTCTTTTATTATACCATTCTCGGTTAAGTTCTTTCACACCCTGTCAGGATACAGATAAGTGTCATAAAATACAAATTATGTTGTTGGCATTAAATAACATCAAAGCATTAAATAATAAATAAAAAATCTCACTCGAGTATTTTAATGTACTTCAAATTCTTCATTATAACACTACATTGTTCATAAATATAAGTTTATAATAACACATTTCAAATGTTACTACAGTATAATGGCTCAAATAAACCAAGTATAAACATGTCATCTAAATAAACAATTTACCTCTCCCATCATTTCATGATGCAAAGTGCAATTCAGCAGCTAAGTATAGCAATATATTTACTTCTTTTGGTACTTCAACATGTTCTTCTTCTTCTATGGTGCTTCGGCTCATTTTTGGGCCACAACCTCACCCCCTCTCAGAGGTTTCTCGGTCATTTGAAGTGTGCATTTGTGAATAGTGAGTGACCAGCCCAATGACTGCACAATTTCTACTCAATCCTGATTTGACTGCCAGAGCCATCTAGCAGTGAATCAGGAGAAATGGCCACTGAATTTTGCTTACAAAACATCTCGTATCATGTTCATAAGGTTCATAGTCCACCGAGAGCGACACTTCAACAGGTTAATGCCGTTTTTATTGTTGGGTCAAACAAATAACATATTAATTTAATATAATGCAGGAAAGTGACAGAGACTCATTTATTAATAGTTCTACAGCATTAAAGAGTGTACACTTACCTGGAAAGTTCTCTACCTGTGAGTCCATTACCTACTAAACCAGATCTAGATCGACTCCGATTCAGCTGTGCTCTTCTTTCCGCTGCAACAACATGCACTGTATTCTAATTATGTTGTTGCCGGCTTATTCAGTTATTTTACAACACTATCTACATCTGAAACTATATAGCATTGTATGAAATTTAGTAGAATTATTAAAAATAAACTGTGAGGAAGTGGTCACAGACTATTTGACAGTACTGACATTACATGACAAGACTTCCTCTCTCAGGACACCTAGTCTCTAGCTGGAGGAAAATAGAGTAAGAGGCAGAACAAGAATATTTTTTACGAAACTGACATGATCTGATCTTACAATGAACTGGCCATACTCACCCCCAGCTGC